AGTGAGTGCCACAGCACAGGGCAGCTGAGCTGAGATTGATAATGCACTGCCATGGTGGGCAGTTGGAGCCTGGGAGCCACAGAAGGGTCACAGAAACACAGGTTTATTTCTTGTTTTACAACTGGTTCCTTTCCCCAATTGCCCTTGAGTGTGATGCTGTTTTACAGTGTGGTACCTCTGCCTCATGTTTCAAACACCTCTCTCTGCAATGTCAGAATCCTGCCAAATGGACTCTTTGGTGCATGCAGACCACAGAGGAGGCACTGCAAGGTTACAGGTGTTGGAAGGGCAGCTGCCCTCCCTGAGTAATTCCTTGTGGCAGGTAGAGCTGGTGGTGGGAAAAAGAGCCTTCATCTGCACTCCTGAGCGGGAATGCAGACACTCCAGGGTGGTGGGAACAGTACAGTATGCATCCTTTTGCAGGTGCAGGTTTACTCAGAATATTCTTGCAGGGCCTCTAATTTCAATGTGTATTTTGGTAGTTCAGTACCCCTGAGGTTGCTTGGTCGTGGAAATTATACCATGAGCCCCAGTACTCACTGAAAATACCATTACCAGTGAAGTGAAGGATTAAGAGAAGAAAATTGCACTTGTGAAAAGTAAAGCAAAGAACAGAAGGAAGGAAAACCATGAGTTTTCACATGGAAAGGGAGGTATCATACCAGCAAAATTCTGGCCTTGCTAATTTTTTACTCTTGGTTTAGTAGCTAGGGACAGAAATGTTCTCCAGATGCAAGGAGTCACCAAGCACTTCCTTGACTTCTCAGCATTCTCTCTTCTGGAAGGGAGGGAGGGAGGATCATTAGAAATGGACTATATTCTTAAGGTTCTCACAGAATGGTCTGAGTCCCCAAATTAAAAGTTATTTTTTTTTAGTAGTAAGAGTCATAGTTGGTTTATTTACACTAGGTGTTCCATAGCTCATTCTGGTGACTGGTTGCAGACCTCATACTCTGAAGAATTACAATTCATGGAGGCCATAGGATTGCACCAGTCTCAGGAAACGGATCGAGAGGAGGGTCTGTGTCCCTTGAGCTGTAGTTAAACACAAGTCTGAGTTTCCAGCCTGTGTGTGCATCCACCTGAGTTTACTCTGCTGTCTTAGATCCTTTACAGGTGTAGGAATACTGGCTGCTCATGACCTTGGAAAGTCAAGCCTTCAGGCAGTAACAGACAGCACTGAAAAAAGAAAAAGAGGAGGGAAATGATGATTTGACAGTCTGACAGAAACACATTCCCTTTGGGCATGTGTGGGGCTGAGATGATCTGTACATGCTGGTGTATTCAATTTGCATGTATGTGATCTCTGTATATTATAGAGATAATGTGTGTATTCTACATATTAACATAACACATGTTTAAGGAAATAAATTATTTTGAGAAGACAACATTTGGCAGTAGCTCAAAAGAAAGATGGTTGTGAAATGCTTTTGATCTGAGTGCAGTGATTTCAGGTGCATCTGTGTGCTCACCAGCTCCTTGTATAAGCTGTTTTAGAGAGTTGCTGCAGTTGCATTGAGCTTGCACAAAGTGGGAAGCTCTTCCATGCCCTCTGAGCAGGAAAACGGAAAGCTTTGAAACCTCTCGCATGAGGAAGATACTTGAAATTATTTTTCTGTGTAAGGAATCACCTGCTGAGAATCTAAATTTTGCAGATGAACCCCACTGAAGAGGAGAAGAAAACAGAAGGTGGCTGAACTGCTCAAGTGCCCTTACTTCTATTTAGATAAATTAATTGCTCCTCCTTACCTTTTTCTTAAACAAATCTAGAAAAAAATACAAAGTCATTTGTAAAGGTAGACATCCTTTAAATTCAGTGTCTCAGATTCTCCAAATGAGGAGCAGAAAATCTGTATTTAGTAGAAATCCTTTCCACTTTGGCTTTGTGTGTACTGCTACCAGAAACTATAAGTCTCAAAATCCAGAAATAACATTGTAACTGCACTGATGCAGAGCTCAGCAAAACCTCCCTGGAAAGCTACCTGGGCAGCCAGCTCCACTGAGCTGCCATGGTCAGGGCCAGCTGCTGGTGGTGTTAATGCTTGCTCTGGTGGCTTGGGGACAGCTCTGCTCTTCACAAGTCCATCTATTCTCACCCAAGGAGATTTCTCATCAATTGAGTTTTCCCAAAGTAATACTGCCAAGTGTCTTATACAAGAAGTTTTACAGCCTTGGATGTTTAATGACGAGATGAATGATTTCTAAATTCTTCAGGCTGAAGCTGGGTGGTCCTTGGTAATGGGCTGTTGGACCCATTTTGTGCCTTACAGTCTCATCACATGAAGTCTTTCAGTCTTTTTGATGTGTCCCCCAGATTTGCCTCTGTAAATGTAAATGCTCCTGAACAAAGGAGTCTCTCCTGTGTAGGCATTAAAAATCACTTGTAAATGTTCTGCAGGGCTAAGGCTGTGTTATGGGGCCACTCCAGCATGAAGAGCTTAAATCTGTTTTCAGCGTGACTAGTTTGGTCTGTGTTTTAAAAGTGAGAACTGAAGCTTTAAAGGAAGAAAACAACTAATTCCTGGGCATCTTCTTCTGAAAGAAAGTGGTCAAAGTCATCTCATTTGTTCCACATTTCACCAGATCTGTTCTTTCACAGCCCTTGGCCATCATCTGTTATTGTGGGTAAATGGCATTCCACATTTCTTCCAACCTACCTATTACCCCAAAAGATGAATCCCACTTTTGTTTTGATTTATATTCAATGGGTTTTTTTTTTCCTTTGGCTGGATATTTTGCAATGCAGGCCAGCATCTCTTAGAGACTCATCTCTAAATTTTCACAAACATACTTCAGAAGCCAGTAAACTGCAATCCTTTCTTCCATGGTTATTTGAAAACATTAATGAACTAAGTGTCACAGTCACTTCTTTATGCTAGAGACATTTTATTCCTTAGGTGGCCATGCATCTGAGCTACTGAGGGATTTAAGTAAAACAGTTGGATCTGTAACCCTGGTTTGCTATCACTGCCATGTGTCTTGTCTGCAGAACTCCATCTCTCTTAACCTCTTTTCAGATGGAAAAAGATATTCTGTCCAGCAGCCAAAGGGAAATGCAAGCATCCTGGTGGAAAACAAGCTGTTTCAAAACCCTGGCTGCAAGCTACCCACACATCACAGTTGTCAGCCAGGCTGCACATGCATGGTTACAGGGAATAAAATAGAGAGGACCTTCTGTTCCTATTCAGAAAGGTCTCTATCCATTCACCTACACAAAAGGATTGTCATCAGCTGCCAGTATTAATTTGTTCTCCTATGTAGGTTTCCAGCTAAAGGAGAATAAAATAAGTCCAGTGCTATCCAGCAGGAGCACTTGGAATGCAAATGCTAGCCCATTAATGCGACCCACTTCTAGATTACTTGGGGTAATTTCTGATCTTATTTATTCCTCCTTTTCTTCAATTAACTTCTGAGAGACTGAAATATCAGTATGCAAAAAATCAAATACGAGAAACAAAGCCCATTTTTATTTTAGGACTCTGCTTCCCTTGTAATAGCAGTTTATTTAAAGAGGAGCCTGGAATAATCCAGTTTAAGCAAAGCAAAGAGCTCTACTGAAGCCAAACCTTGTGTGGGTGTGCTCTTGTCAGGACTCCCAGAAGAGGAGGACAGGAAAGGCTGTTAGTCAGACCACAGATATTGCAGGAGATGTTGGTTACTCAGTAGCTGGCATTATTCCTTGGCATACCAGTATGGAGCTACTACTCTGGTGTACTGGGAGAGAGTACATCCCACTGGGAAAATCCTCAGATAACCTGATGTCCTGCTCTTTATTGTCATAAAGAAAACCCCGAGGATATGTGGGTGGAAGAGGTGTCCACTTCAAGGGCTTAGCATGTGCTTTAGGGACAACTTTGCCGCTTCCCCTTGTTCCATCCACCTTGTGCTGTATTTGCAGCACATCCCATGCCGGGGTCTGGTGTGTTGCTTTGTGTTGTGTGGGGTGGTGTCACCTCCTGCTATTTGGACCTGGGCTCAAAGCCACAACGGACTTCAGTCCAATTGGGTCACAGCTTCTTACACCATCCCAGAAGTTTCCAGATACTCAATTTTCACAGAAAGTTGGACATAAGAATAAATTTTTGCATTATTTCCACTTTCTTTATAATTTTTTAATGAAGGGGTTTTTTTTCTCAGTTTATTTTTCTTTAAAATTTCTAAGACAACAACACAGCTAAGGATCTGTTAAATATAAGTAATTTCAGCGTTAAAGACAGAAGAGTATGTTCCTCAGAACAAAAAAATAAATTGATTAGTTCTTGAAGCAGCAGGTGATACTAACAAAGAAGATAAGGTTCAATTTTGTTTCCACTAGTGGATTTGAATGTCTGAGCATCATCTTTCTTAGTTGGATATCTGTGGATTTGAATTTTAATTATTTGGGTTGGATATAATAAATGATTGTATTGTATTTCTAAAACGTGGCATATTCTCAAATTCTGCACTGTAAAATTCATGTCTGTACTGCTCTGCACTGAGAACCAGGACACTAATGATTAGGTATAGACAGAAATATTAATTAAATTTCATACGGTGATAAATAATATAGAGTTGAGTATATCAATTTCTTTAAAATAAAAAAACTGTAGCTAGATATTTATTTCATAAGTCTGTGAGAATTAATGTAGACAATAAAGAGGGCATGAAAGAGAGCCTGCATAGATATTGATTGGTATGTTGAGGGTGTATTTCACATATTTATCCTCTGCTTTCCCTCTCCAAGGAGAGCCTCCCTTGGGCAATCCTTGCCATTGATTTTGAGTCTGCCTGCTCAGAAGCTGGAAATGTTGCTGCAGGTGGGGAAAGTACAAGAACAGCAATTGATTGCAAATACATTTTATGATACTCTGCTCCCATATTTCAAAGGAGAAAATTTATTAATGGCGGCAGGTCTCGGAGTCTCCCTTTTAAACATATCGAGCAAACCCATATTTTTTCAAGCTCCTGGACATTTTTATTTTCTCTAAAAGTGACCCTTTTTTGTTTCCTTTCTCGCACAGACAGTGAAATCATCCCTCCCGACTGCCTGCGGCCCCGCTCCTTCACGGCCATCCGCCGGCCCTCGCTGCGGCGGGACACGGAGGACACGCGCCTCTCGGTCAGCCTGTGCGACCTCAACCTGCAGGAGGACGCCTTCCACGTGACGGCCACCACCTGCCCCATCCCGCAGAACTCCCTCAACTCCCAGCACTCCCACCTGCTCCCGTCCCAGCTGGAGAGCGACCTCCGCTTCCACCTCCTCCGGGGACCCCACGTCAAAATCCTGGATGACCAGACCGTGGCCCGCCTGGAGCACGCCCGCGAGGAGAGGACTTTGGTGTTCACCAGCAGACCCCTTCGGATCAACGAAACCATTTTTGTCAAAATCAACAAGTCCAACGCCGTGCGCACAGGGACGCTCTCCTACGGGGTGACGTCCTGCGACCCCGGCACCCTGCGCCCCAGCGACCTCCCCTACAACCCCGAATCCCTGGTTGACCGAAAGGAGTTCTGGGCCATCTGCCGAGTGCTGGTGCCCCTCCAGAGCGGAGACATCCTGGGATTTATGGTGAATTCCGATGGTGAGCTGCACTTGAGCCACAACGGCGCCGGCGTTGGCATGCAGGTGTGCGCGGACTGCTCCCAGCCCCTCTGGATGTTCTTCGTTTTACACGGCGCCATCATGCAAATTCGATTGCTGGGTATGTTGGGCCCCCTTTTTCCAAACCTTGTGCACAAGAAAGCAAGGAGGGAGGTACATCATGGGAGAGGGAGTGAATGGCTCCCTCTCTGCTCTAGGATGAGGTACAAATTTTGGTTTGTATTTCAAAGAAGGTCTTTCATAAAAAGAAAAAGAAATGCAAAGGCACAAACATAGCATATGGGTGTGAGTTACAAGACTTAACCTCCTTGCACTTCTGTAACACCCTTCACATGATGGTCTCAAAGATCTTTTCAGATAATGAATTAAGCCTCAGGGACCTCCATTAAAGTACAGATGAGTCATCACTGACCTAAGAGAAGCAAGGAGGGCAGAGGAGAGGTGCTTTGGGCCAAGCTAATGTAAGGCGTAGCCAGCAGGAGAAAAGAGATCTGATGCCCCTCTCTGGGATGATGGACTCCCAAAAGAGGGGTGCCCTTGCTTTCCCAGGCTTGTATGTGAGAGGCAAGCCAGCAAGCAGAGAGGAAACCCTGTGCTTCACTGAGCATGGCACTGACCATCTCAACTGGAGAAAGGTTTCCTTGTCCTCCAGCCCTTTTTAAGGCAGAGTCGCTCACACTGAGCGACTGAGGTTGAGAGACTTCTGAAGAGCTGGCCTCTTGGTATTTTTGCTGTTTTTTCAGCTCTTTTAGCTGACATACTTCATTGAAATGCTTCAAGTCACAGTTGGAAGGCATGGAGGGGGAAGCTTTGAAATAACATTTCTCAGGATCAAATTTACTTTCTCGTGTGTGTATTTTAGACCAAGTATAGGATGTGTTCAATCATTAATTGGTACCATATCACGGTTCTGCTCTATCAGTGTCAGACAGTAAAAGATGGATTCTGAGAACATGATGTAATCCCCAGTACCCCTATAAATGAAGATTAAAAAATGCTCCTTTCTGTTTATACTGTTGTATAACTTTAAGTATACTTATATTCCATTTTGCTTTAAATCCTCCTCATACCTATCAGCAAAAAAAACCTCCAACAACCTGTCTCTCTGTCAAACTCAAGAGCCAACAAACAGCTCCTTTTTTAAGGATTTATAGTCAGTTTTTGAAGATAAATTGTGAACACACACACATCTGTCTGCAGGGTCCAGCTCACCTTAATCACAGTATGAAATGCCTCGTATAATTTGTTTGAAGTTGACCACAGGCCTCTGCTGTGAGTGTTTTGTGGCTGTTAAAGGCTCACAGAAGACAAATGTAATACTGCAATTTATTTCCAGGAGCCCGAGACTCAATCCCTGCTAATTCAGCCTGATTACATTTGCTGTGGGTACTGTACATAATCCGTGGTTTGCTCTGCTCTCCACCAGCATGTCATTGTGGTAATGGTAGGTGAAGTCAAACAGAGCCCAGTAAGGCAGGAGATTAAATGCTCCTGTGTATGTTAGAAGGAAAACATACCTAGGTCATTGAGCTGCTGGTGAAACTAAATCATCAACCAGTGCTTCCTTTCATATGAGATCACTGATTCTGGCAGTTTGGCACAGAACAAGGAGCCTGTTTGCAATGAGCTCTGAAACAGGGCAGCAAGGATGTGTCTCCCCAGAGGGACAGAATCACATCCTCATACTGAGTTTGACAGAGCATGGACATGAGCACAGACCTCCTGTGTAAACCTCCTGCTGTGCATGCCCTGCAAATGTCCTCCCTGCTTATCACAAGTTCAGCCCAAACCAGAACATCCCCAGTGCATGTTTTAGATAAATGTATACTCGTATGCATGAAATGAAATGTGCAGAGTTGGAAAACCCTTCACTTCTTGTGTTTATGACCATGACAGGCTTTTCTAGCCTTGATCGCTGGAAAAGAACCTGAAAATGGGCTATTGTTCCTTAGTGAGATGTAAGTGAAAAGATATGGACTTGCTGACCTGGCCTCTCTCAAGGAAAGGGTAGGACCCTGCTGAGTGTACAACTTTATCCATATCAGCTTGGGCAGCAAGCTGTTATCTCCAAGTTAAATGCCCTGGAATTGGAACTTGCCTGTAATTTTTAACAGGTATTAAAACACAAATAGAGCTTTTCATAGCTTTATTTCCAGTATAACAATGCTGGAAGCAGGGAGCAGTGCAGTCCCAGTATCAGTACAATATGAGTGTAGTACAACCGCCCAGAGAAAAGCACTGATGCTGTCCCGACTGCATCTCTGCAACTGCAGTAATTACACGGATCAGCAATATCCTGACAGAAGGCAAAGAAAATAATGAACTCCCAACTCTAACTATTGCAGTTTTATTAGGGAGGTGATGTGCACTGTTTGCACTGCAGTGGAACAGATTATGGTGCTTGCCATAATATGTGTCATTATAATATTAGAAAATGTAAGAAGAATGTAAAGTGTTCATCTTTCTAATGACATGCTCCATCTTCAGAATGCAAACAAGAGTAATTTTGTGAGATCTGTCTTTTGTAATTCGGGCTTTATATCACAGCAGAAGACATTCATAGTCATCTTTTTCTAGTTTAAATAGAAAAAATGAAGTTACATATCCTTGAAAGAAATGAGACACAAATATTGCAAAAGGCATAATTGTACCAAACCTATCCTAAATAGCAGATGTCATTCTATTTCTGGGGCACACCATTATGAGATGAACCAAAGTGACATTATATAGTGTTAAAGGAACGTCAGCACTACAGCTGACTATAAAATTAAATTAAAGTTGCTGGGTTTGCTTCTTCTCCAGCTTTTCAGTTTTGTTTGGAGAATGGACAGCCACTCTTACACCTAGAGAAGGTTTGTTTTTGACTTGGAGAACAAGATGACTCCAGGTATTGATCACTGGATACTGTATTTCATGACTGGACATTATTTATTAGGTCCTGATGCAGAGCAGGAGCAAGCTCAGGTCTGTGCTGGCCTGTGACTTTGCCATAGAAGCTGGCATTTGCTGACTGCAGCTATTCCACAATGCTGGAGATACAACATTTATTTCCTAATATCAGGGGAGACCATCTCTACCCAGGCTGGTGATGTTACAGGACTGTGTAGGAGAGGAGGGCAGTGTGGGGTTAGCTGGATAGTAAAGAATTCTGACTTCTGTTTTCCTCTTATCAATCTGGCATTGTATACTGGCAATATATTTGCTGTAAGAGAAATAAAACAGCTGAAAATAAAGATGAGGTCGGAAACACTATTATTCTTCATGCCATCCCAGTAAAAGTAAAATAAATTAAACTCACGTCTCACTATAATGCAGTGAGAGGCCACAGTCATCTGTAGGGGAGGCAGAAGAAAGTCAGTTTGTTTCAAAGAGAAGTTTAAAAGGCAACTTGACCACATAGAGCAAAGATAAATGAAAGAGAAGGGCACTTTATTGTGGCAGATAATAGCATAAAAAATATCAAGCTGCTGGGAAATGGACACAAATTTAAATTAAACATAAGTGAGGCTAATTAACTATGGGAACCAGCTATTGAGGGAGGCAATAGATCTTTTTTGTCAGGGAAGCCCTTCTAAATATTCTATATGTTAAGTGCTGGTCTTAATTTAGTAGTTCTGGGGATTATGCACATAAAAACAACCAAACAGAAACCCAGATCATTAGGCATGTAGAAATGAAACAGTCTTTGTGTATCCTTTAGGAATTTCATTAGTTGAGGATTGGGTTGGTTTTTTCAGATATCATTCCTATATAGTCAACAAAACCAGCCTATTAAATTTGATTTACTGCTCTCAGCTTTTGCTGGTAAGCATTTCAGCTCTCACACAGTTTTATTGACAGCTCTGAAAGTTTGAAATGAGCCAGTCTGGATACAATGGTCTGGTTTTGGTCAGGTTTTGGTGGTGTAATTCATTTATGAAGTTAAATTGATTGACCCCATAAGGTTTCAAAATGTATGACTCATGTCTGGAGAAGCTATCACAGCAATAAGTTTGTATATTTAATGTTTGAGGATCCAAATGGTTGGGGATATTCTTTTATTTTCTTTTGTCTCAGAGTTGAATTGCTAGCAAGTAAAACAACTTCCTTAATATCTTTTTTTTTTTTGTGGTTTTGGTTTCCCTTGCAAATTTCATCCTTTCCAATAATATTGAAGCTTTCTTTTGAGCAATGAAATAACATGTTCCATCAACAGTCACACTAATGAAGCCAGCTTGCCAACTTATCTGTCCTTTCTTTCCATGCACTTCAATAACTCCAGCCCCACCACAACAGCTGCACAATATAGCAGCTTTCTGGATGTCTCCTAATGCTGGCCAAGAGCCAGTCCTAGGCACGAAAAAACCCCCAAGAGGCAGCATTTGTTGTGGGCAAGTCTGAATTCACATCCATGCTGGATAAATGCAGTACCTGGGACACTTTCCCACCTCCTTTACCACGGACATGAACTGGGGCTCCTGCTTAGCTGCCCATTGGAAAATATTTACATATCAGTTGTTGCTGAGGCTTGCATCCTTCTTTAAGACTTTATTGAAATTGGACAATGTGCTCAAAACTGAGGAGATGAGTAAGAAAGATCTGACATGGGACTTGCAGAAAAACCAGCTCTGTGTCCTCGGTTCCTCGGGATTTCTGACAACACCAGTGGGCAACAAACCAAATTGGAAATTAGCTCAGCAGAGTACTGTGGGACACAATTTGCTGGCAAAGGGCTCTTTAAATCAACAGTGAAATTTGATCTGGAGTGGCCTTGGTGCCAGTCTGAAGGACTGCCAGCTGCAGCCAGTCCCAGTCACAGGCAGGCTTACTCGGAGCCGTGCCCAGTATGACTCTTACTGATGGTCAAACTTAGCAGTCCTGGTAGTGCTGCCCTTGTTAAAACAGCCTTTTTCCTGGGGCTGACTGAAAAGACCTGAAACTTCATGGATGAACAGAGTAGTGTCTTCCTTAGGTGTCAGAGAGCAATGGTTTACCAGAGGGAATTTGCTTCTGTGATGTTCATCACACTGCACTGTTTGGTTTTCCTTGACTTTTGCTCTATCCCAGGTGAGTGACCAGCTCACCACAGACCACTTATGATTCACAGGCCATTGGAGACTG